GCACTCTACCCAGGGGGATAGCTTGAGGCTCTGTCTCAAAAAATAAAAATAATAATAATTAAAAAAAAATCCACAAAGGATTTTCTGTGCTGAAACATCATCGACATATGTCTTGTCCATTTTTTTTGTTTTAGAAATGGAGTCCTATTTTGTCACCCTCGATAGTGTGCTGTGGTGTCACAGCCCACAGCAACCTTCAGCTCTTGGACTTAGCCGATTCTTTTGCCTCAGCCTCCCAAGTAGCTGGGACTATAGGGGCCTGCTGCAACGCCTGGCTATTTTTTGGTTGCAGCCGTCATTGTTATTTGGCAGGCCCGGGCTGGATTTGAACCCACCACCCTAGGTGTATGAGGTGTATGTGGCTAGCACCTTAGCCACTTGAGCCACAGGCGCCGAACCTCTTCCTACCATCTTAAGTAATAATTTTTGCCCAGATGCTAAGCCAGATCTAAAATCCCAGCTTGACTTAAGACAGAAGGAAATGCCTGCTATACTGTTCTCAAAGATAAAAGGATAGAGGTCCTTCAGTGTCAATTCTTTTTTTTTTTGAGTATGATTATAAACTGTGGATGATTAAATCTAGTGAATTATGTTGCAAGCCTGATATACTGCTGTGTTTGGATTGAGTTCATTTATTATGAAACTGATAGCAATAAAATGAAATGTCTGAAAAAAAAGTTTATCCAAATTTACTTACTCCATCACAGACTGTACATGGCACGTTTGCAGTCTAGAGAAATGTAAACAAATGTATAGACAAAGTATTAAATCATAACTGTGTAAAATTAACTGTAGCACATACTATATTACTATAATAATTTCACAGTCACTTCCTGTTGTTATTGTGCTGAGTTCAAGTATTGTGAGTATCCATTCAGAATACTCTGTGATACTAATCATCACTGTGTGAACAGCTTTTCTCCTTTAAATGGCCTATCAGAGTAAAAAGTGATCTCTTGCTGTTCTCAGAGATTTTGTATTGTGTTTAGTATAATACCGTAAACCTTGAATAACATGGGACGTATACAAAGTGCCATTAGTGATACTGGAAGTGCTCTTAATAAGCAGAGAAAAGTTATGTTACTACAAGAAAAAGTTGAATTGCTTGTTCTATACTGTGCATTGACCTCCGCAGCTACAATTACCTGCCATTTCAAGAAAAATGAATCCAGGATAAGGGGCATTTTTATAAAAAGAAAAATTTGTGAAGCTGTCACTGCACCTGTGTCAGCAGGTGTAAAACCTTTTGCATAATACCTTTTTATCTCATATAGAAAATGCAGATTTTATAAGAAAGGCACACTTATAGATTCTAATATGATTTGGATAAAAAGCAAAGTCATTATGCAACAACTTAAAGCAAAGGGAAGGTGAAGGATCTAAAGCTGGAGAATTGAATGCCAGCAAAGGAAGGCTTGATAATTTTAGGAAGAGGTTTGAATTAAAAAACGTCAAAATAACAGGAAAAGCAGCTTCTACCACCTAATAGGCAGCAGACAAGTTCCCAGATGCCATTAAGAAAATCATTGTGGGCTCGGCGCCTATAGCTCAACCGGCTAAGGCGCCAGCCACGTACACCTAAGGTG